AACTGCAGAGATGCAGCCGGACTCTGTTGTAAGAGGGACGCATCCCCAGCTTTTGAGGGTTTTTTTTAAGATGGAAGGGGGGTTAAGATGGTTTTTGTGGGTTTTTTTTGGCGGGGGTAGGACATGTTAACGAGGTATCCCCTCGTTGGGCAATTTCGCCAAGTCTGTCTTCATTACTTCAACATTGTGCATTTGCTAATTTGGAAGGCCCTTCCTTTTGACAGATCGGCTCCCATACACCTGCAAGCAATTTGCGAAAGCTCCAGTATAGGAGAATTGCGGCGAAATGGCAGCTCGCACCTACTTTATTTCTTTCTCTCTCGCTCTCTCTCGCTCTCCTCCCTTCTTCCCCCCATTCTCAATGCACAGCAAATTTGGCTTTCAGTGCGTTATCTCTTTTGTTAATGCAAAAAGATTCCCTGGGCGAAAAAATTGCTCATAATTACCAGAGAGATGGGGAAACTGCATTAGAATAAATAAACCTGAAATTACTGTAATTATGTTGTGTTTGATGGGCTCGGCTTGTAATCAAGAAGAGAATACAGTGAAATGATGCTGACCCTCTTGGGTTTTGCAGCTGTAAGCGCACTTTGGGGTCTTTTTTAGAAGGGGGGGAGAGAGAGACAGAGAGAGAGAGAGAGCAGTTTTGATTATCATTAAGCTGTGTGTAAGCTATCACAGAAGTGTTGGGAAATGAGGGGCAGGATTCCCCACCCCCACCCCCCAACAAGAATAAAAAATACCTATCCCTAAATCGCATTTTGCCATTGACAGATGTATCCGGTAGGGCTGTTGTTTTGCGGTGTGACGATTGTTAGACAGGCCTAATATTCGAAATCAGTTTTTAATCATTATAATGAGGTATTGTTTCAATAGAAGCCCCTCCGGATTATTCAGAGTTTAATTAATATCCTCATTATGAAAATCTCCGAATCAGATATTTGATGAACTACTTGTCAGGAACAAGGCAGAATTAATTAGGTCTGCGCGGAGATTAACGTGTGCAAATGTACGGCGGATAATAGGCGCTAACTCGAAGCCCGCCTCCGTTGCGAGAAAACTAATAATTTCTCCATTTGGAAAGGGTTAGCAAGACCTGATTGAATTAGGAGAAGCCAAGACTTCTTTCTTTCTTTTTTAAAAAGGAGCGTTTCCGGTAAGAGGGTTTTGCTTGACCAATCTGTGGTTTGTACCAAAAGACCCGCTCCCGAAGTATTTTGATCTTTGCGTTCAGACCGGAGGACGCGCGATCCGGTTCTAGTCTTTCTCTGCGTCGGGGGACGAGGAAGGCACCGACTTCGACGTTTCTGGTTCAGAATCTCTGCCCAATTTAGACTCCTTGGAACACAGGAAACCAGTTATTAAAGGGATATTCTTCTCCTGTAAAAAAAATAATCCCCTTAGGGCGAGCTCTCTCTTGCCTCCCCTGGGGAATCAGGAGGCTCGGATTCTCCCACGGCTTGCCTGCCTTCTCTTCCTCGCCGCTGCTCCAGTAAACTGCCCCCCCTCCCCGGCCCGGCCCCGTTCCCGTTCCCCACGCCGCTATGGTGCCTTATCTCTCTCTGGCATGTACATTAGCCAGAGGGCCGCATCATTTGATCACTCATCGCCCAGAATTGAAAAATGGGTGCGTGTCAAAACAAAAATCGATACAATTTATCATTCGCTTCCTCCCCTGAACGGCCTCCCGGAAATCCATCCCCACCCCACCCCCACCCCACCCCGATACACACCCACTTCTGCCTCCTCCTCCTCCTCCTCCCCTCCGATCCCTCTCCCCACCCACTCACCCAGTAGGGAACCTCGCAAGTGGATGCGGAGCTCAGCACCGCCGAAGAGAGGAGGAGGAGGAGGAGGAGGGGACCGAGGCAAAAATGACCCTGCCAGAACAGATGTGTCTCTCTGGAACTCTCTTTCTTTCTTTCTTTCTTTCTTTCTTTCTTTCTTTCTTTCTTTCTTTCTTTCTTTCTTTCTTTCTCTCTCTTTCTCTCTCTTTCTGTTTGTCTTTTTCTTTCTTTCCCTTTCTTTCGGTTTGTATTTCTTTCTCTTTCTATATTTCTCTTTCTGTCTTTCTTTCTCTTTCTCTATCTTCCTTTCTTTCTGAGTTTCTTTTTCTTTCGCTTTCTGTTTCTTTCTTTCTTTGGCCTACTGAACTTGGCATGCGACAAGCCCCAGCGCCTAATTTGTCGGCTCTAAAGTGCCAGAACTTGGGCCGTGGGAGACGTTGCGCTATTCGGCTGTTCGGCTGGTTGCAGCGGCGTTCCCGGAGGAAAGTCGGCCGAACCAAGAAGCCGCGCCCGGAACCTCCGCGGCTTCTTCTCCGGCGTGTTTGCGCGCAGTGGCCTGAGCCCAGGGCCGCGGATGGCGGGGAGAGGGAGGGGCGGCGTCAAGGGGTATAGCCCAGAGACTCGGATGATTCTCTGAAAGGAAACCATTGCCCGTGTCTCTCTGGAGGGGTGGAGAAAGGAGGCCGGGAGCTGGCAGCTGTGGGCCTGCTTAGAAGGGAGAGGTGCGAACGGCCGTGCCCAATCCCCGCGTCCTTCCCAGCGTTTCCTTCTCTTCACAACACCGCCTGCTTCGCCGCCTTTCCAAATCCAAGCCCGTTCCGCTTTCCTTCCTGCGGGCATCTTTGGCCTCTCAGCCCAGATGGGGGGGACACCCCAGGCTGAACAGTCGTCGCCGTCCCTCCCCGTCCTGCCCCGGAGCTGATACCCTCCAGTCCTCCCAGGCGAGGAAGGCTCCCTTTCGAAGGCCTGGCAGCCGGTTTCCTTCCCTCGACCCCTTGAGCTTGGCAAGCGGAGGGGGCCGGGAGGATGGCTGGCCCGCAGACAGGAAACGTGGAGGGTCGAGAAGGGTTCCCCCCCGGTGCGCACAGCGCCACAGACTTCTGGACGACCCGCCTGGGCCAAACCGCTGCTTGGCTGCCTCAGGCAGAACACAACCCGCCCGTTCTCCGGGGGGGGGGGGGGCGCGTGTTTGAAATCCGGCCTCTGTGGCAGATCCCGAGCGGCTGAGACCCGGATCCTGAGCGCAGTTCGGTTCCCAAGGCCCAGCGTCCAACATGTCCTCCCCCTGCCCTGAGCTCTGTCCCCTCGCACGCCCTAAACACGCGCACCCACTCCAGACCTGACGTCGGTGATAACCGATTCCCGTTGGCACCACGGACCTGCCTCTGGTTTAGCGAGATTGTCACCCCCAAAGCCGACCTCCCTTCAGCCCTGGCAGGAAACACTACACGTGCTGACGGTCTTTTTTTTCCAAACCATAATTTTACTGTCCCAAAAGAAACTTTTATAACGTATGTACAAATATTTCAGGGCGCGACAGGGCTTGGGGGGGGGGGAGTCGAGGGGAGGGGGGGGTTGTTGTTGGTTTGTTTTTTCTTTTTCTTTTCCAGGATACAAAGCAATAAGTTAACATTCTCAATATAAAACTAAACTTTGACATATAGAACACTAAAACAACAGCGGGTCTCTCCGGGTTATCACATTTCCGAGGGCTTGTTTTTTTCTTCTCTTCTTCTTCTTCGTCACAAATAAAAAACCTCTCAGTTCTCACAAAGCCTCGTGTATTACGGCCACCCCCCCAAAAAATAAAAAAGATCGGGGGAGGGGAAGGGAAGGAAACCCTAAATAGTCTTTTCCCCCCTCCATTCTTTTAAAAAAGCTCAGATTTGTGCAACATGTTTACAGAACAATATTATGAATTCAGACGACATTATGTACAGCGATCCAGAGCCTGCACGTGAGGATCTGTGCAGAGAGGTTTCACATTGGCAATTCTCTGAAGGAGGGGGAGGGAAGGAGGGAAAGCTCAACAGTTTGGGTTTTAAAGCTGACTTGAAGCCAGGACGGCCTCTTCGCGTCTTCTTCCCCACTATCGCATTCCCCTCGCTGGAGATCGGGAAATGCTGCAAATCCAAGTCCACACGCAGACCAGGAGGCACCGCTACAAGTAAGACGCTCCACAGCCCGGCCGGACTCCGCTTCCAAAGGTAGACCAGGTCCTCCTTCTCTTCCTCCCCCACCCCCACCCCGAGCTCCCCAAAATACTGGCTCCTATGAGAAAGCGAGAGAAAGACCGAGATCTGCGCCCAGGTGCGAGTCGTGTAACCAACGCCGTCGGCTCCAACCATTCCACACGCTCCGCGACAGAAACTCTGGTGCAAAAGCCGTGCCAGAGTGCGCTCGGTTCGCAACAAAAAGGAAGGCAGGCTGCGTTCCGTTCCCCTAACCCAAATCTGCCCGTAAGGTTTATTCTTAAAAAAAAAAAAATAGCACTCTCTTAGTGGTCGTTTGTCAATAAATAATAATAAGTTAAAAAAAAAAACCCTTTCCCCGTTGACAAAAAGGAAGAAATCATATACACCAAGGCCCACAAGGGAACTCTGAAGACACAAAGTATAGAAAACCCCAATGGGGAAAACAAAATTAAAAAGGCGAAGATTTTTCTCTTTCCACAGATGGGGGGAAGGGGGAGGTGTGTGTGTCTGTAGGGGGGGAGAGAGCTACATTTCATCAGGACAAGACACGAGAGACAGACGGACAGGACAGAGGACACCGTTTTTTGTTTCTCGTACAAACAATATTTTTTTTTTGTCGTCGTTCGTTGTGTGTTCGTGTTCCGACGGTCCGTCCCCACCGAGGCTCGGCTCAGGCAGTGTGGCTGGCAGGCAGGCAGGCAGTTGTCCGGCTGGTCGAGGGGCTGCTCTGTCAGCTGTCCGCGGTGGGAACCGGCCCCGCCTCGCATCTGTGCTTCTCCGGCCCGGCCGAGGCAGAGGCTTTCCCGCCGGGGGCCGGCGGCGCCTCCCGGCTCTCGAAGCTCCCTCCGTGCCATTTGCGCTCCGCGCGCCTTTTGGACGCGTTCGCTCTGCGGGTCCTTCTGGGCTGCTGCGGCTACCGGCTGGTGGATCCGAGGAGGCAATTTAAAAAAATTAAAAATCAACAAAAACGAAACAAAGGTCGGGGAGAGGAAAAATCCCCCCAGCGTCGAGCGGCCGGTCACATCAGCTGCGGCTGCTGCATAGTCTCCTGGTGGGCCGTCGGGTACCACGACGTGTAGCTGGGGATGTAAGTGCCCGGGGTGCCCGTCGAGCTCTTGGCCGACGACGAGTTGGTGTTCCAGACCGGAGGCCCCGGCGGAGAGCCGGCCGACAGGGAGCGGCCGTTGGCCAGGGCGCCGCTCTCCAGGGCCGCGCCGCCTTGCTTCATCAGCTTCTTGAACTTGGAGCGCTTGTTCTGGAACCAGATCTTGACCTGCGGGGAGACACAAGAGAGGGCGGAGGGCCGCCGGGCCGGGCGTGAGCGGAGGAAAGGCCGCGCGGACGCCGCATCCCTCCCTCCCCGGGGCTACCGGGACAGCCGCTGCCCCTCCTAGAGAAATACGGCCCCCCGACCCCAAAGCGCCGGACAGCTGTGACGCCCCCCCCCAGTAAGGGACGCTGGACGGAGACGCGCGGGCGGCCAAAACTCTGGGAATCTTACGGCCTGCAACTTTCTTCTTCTGGGGAGGGGGCTGATTGCCCCCCTCCAGTAGCCGGTCTTTCAGCAAGGCCAGGTGCCTTAATTCCCACCCAAATGAACCAGTAGATCCGGAGTAAATCCACCAGGGCTCCCGGGAAGGACACGTGGAGTTCTCAGGAGGGCCCGTTTCTCCCGCAAAGCCCAGCTCTCGGGAAGCGCCGCTTAAGCCTGAACGCCTTTGACTGCCCTGGAATTCAGTGCGGGTTTCGGACTGCGGTGGTCCACAATCCACCTGCCTTCCACGTCCCCCGCTTTCAAAACAGAACGGGGGGGGGACGGTTCCAAGCCCGAGCGAAGCGCATCCTTCGAAACAACCCAAATCTCGCCTTTTGCAGAGAACAGTCGACCTCTTTGGAAGGGATCTAAGCGCGTGCTGGTATTATTTTCCTCCCAGCCAGGCGAGGGTTTGAACGGTTTGTGCGTTTACATATAGATAGATATACATTTTCGTATTACAAAGGAGACAGGAAGGAAATTCTCTTGGCCATCCACCCAACCAATTCTTGGCATCTCCCTTCTTCTTCCTCCACGACCTGGAAGGTACAAAATTAAAACCACTGGAGGAGACGGTTATCCAGCCGCTGAGAACGTAACACCCAGAAAAGACTCCCCTTTCTTGGGAGTTTAGTCCCGCCGGACTCAGCGGGGCCTCTTTCCGAGTAAGCAGGGCATGGAGGCGCGATAGTCAGTCTCAGGAGACTCGGAGGACATTCCCGGTTTAAAACTGGCCCGTGAATACTCCGAGGGGGTGGCACTGATTTTCCTTAGCAGGCAGTTCAAGAAACGAGAATGGGGTGTGTGTTTTTCCCCCCAGAAGGGTTTTGGAAATGCTAGAAAGGCCGGAACGCGGGGTTGCGGAGAGCTTAGCTGGGCG